AGGACTCAAACAAATAATTTGACAAGGGAAAAACCTTTTATTCCCTCCTGTGAAGCAATGTATGTGTTATGTCACTGTTATTCAAACTCCATATTTCACACATTATTTCACAAAACAAATAATACAAGATATAGGTATAAAAGATAATGATCTGCTGAATTTTAATGTTTCTATAGCAGTCAATTCTATAAGAGTCAATTGAACAACCTGCTCAACTGTCTGATGCAAAATGTGCAAATAACCCAATTAACCATTGCCACTCATAATAACTCACAAGTGCGCAGTGTTTCTATATTGCATCAAGGTAAAGAAATCCTACTCAGTGTGTGAATGATAAAGCTAATTACTACAGTCACAAAGAGTGAAAATATAGTCAAGAGTTAGTCTAGTGACTTCTCTTTCCTGGGAAACTTGGGTGTCATCACAGTAGATCCTCACCAACAACCTACAAGGAAATGGCTCAAAGACGAGAATCTGGTTCTGGAGAAGGTTCCTTATTGGAAGAACAGGATTCCTGAGCTCCAAAAGATAATGTATGGATAAGCCTCACTTCACCAGGAGCCCGGCCTCTCCTGAATTCCCCACCTGATCAAGGGATTATTTTTTACAATACCCCAGTGGAAAAGTACCCCCATGCTACTAGAACCTCAAACTAAGAATCAACTACCTTTCTTGCTACTAAAATCCAGATTGCAATTCCTGGGAGGAGGAAGTGGCAGACCAGATTGAAGTTCCATACCCAAAAACGATGGGGTGAGAGTTTTAAGGGAATCTAAGAACATCCTTGCATAGACATCAGTGTGTCCTGAAATAATACTGAGGCAGACAAGGTTCCTTGGGTGAATCTGATATCTTTTATTAGACCAACCCAAATGGTTGGAGAATAGTTATTAAGCAAGCTTTCGAGTTCAAAAACCCTTCGTCAGGCTAAGGAAGTGTCAGCAGCTGGGGGGTTCTCTTCCTGCATGGAATGAAAAGTAAAGAAGCCAGGGGCTGGGCTGGTATGCATACAAGACAGGTAGTCAGTGAAAATGTAGATTGAGGAGTCAATGGGTGAGAGACAGGTGGCGGGGGGAGGGAGAGAGAAGCGGGATGAAAGTGGAGAGATACCTGCGGAGTCATGTCAGGCAGGTTATAATGTGTCATAAATCCAATCTCTATATTTAGTTCATGATTTTTAGTATCCAGGAGGTTGATGAAGTGGAGTTCAGAGGCTCGTCTCTGGGAAGTGTTTTGTAGGTTTCCTTTGAGGATCAGGACTGTGAGATTGGAGAGAGAGTGGTTTTCTTGTGAGAAATGTGCCCCCACAGGTAATTGGGTATTTCTGTCTTTGATAGATTTCCGGGGTGTGTTCATTCTGGTGCACAGTTGTTGTTTGGTCTCTCCTACATATTTTCCATCAGGGCATCTGGTGCATTGGATGAGCTATATTACATTTCTGGAGGTGCAGCTGTAAGATCCAGGGATGCTGATGGCTCTGTTGTGGGGTGTAGTAATAGTGGGGGTGGTGGAGAAGTGTTGGCAGGTTTTGCATTTCTTGTCACGGCACGGTCTGGATCCTTTCGGTGTGTTCTGGGCTTGAGGAAGTTTGCTTCTGGTGATGAGGTTAGTGAGGTTTGGTGTTTGTTTGAAGGCTAGGATGGGTGGCTCTGGGAAGATCTTTTTAAGAATAGGGTCTCTTTCTAGTATGGGTTGCA